TGATCACTGTGCACACACATGGTACACAGACATACATGCAGGAAAACCACACATGTACATTAAATAGATAGAAAAAAAACTTGTCAGGGAAAAAGAGGTTGTACCTGGATAAAGCTTAAGAGTTCCTGCTGTAGAGCACTATAAAGTTGACAAATGATGCAAAAATCTCATGAGGAAAATAAGTACACGTTCTAGACAGTGCATCCCAACTCAGTGGTTGCCAAGTGAGTACCAAAGTTACATAGAATGGTAGTGAAAATTCAAGGTCATGACATTTCCTCTATCCCATCTAACCAGAAATGGGAAACAGTCAAGAACAAGAGAGATCCCTCATGTTCAGAAGAAAACCTTCTCATTTTGACAGTTAGCATTAGGAAGAATGGAATATGGCTGCATGTTTGTTTTTCTGAGTGCTTACAGGTTTTAGTCCCTAACACTGTCGCTGGCATTGAAGGTTATTTAGCACTTAGTGTGAGTTAAAAGAAAGGGGCAGAAATGGTAGGAGGCAGAGAGAGTGGAAGGAATGCCCAGTACCTAGGATGTTGTAGAGAGCATGTCAGATTCCTCCAAGGTATTTTATACAGCACAGCCTTGGATATTCATTATACTCCCACCCCCAAAGAAAAGGCATAAAAATTAAACCAAGCTACCTCCAAGGAATAATTAGAATGAAAAGTCGATGAGGAGAAAATGGCTCATATTCTCTTCATTGATTTCCTATGCACAGAGTCAAACTTGACTGCCGGTTGCAAGTCAGTTTGGCCACTTCTCATTTCTTTCTGCGCTGTTGGGCTCTCCTGCCAGGGCCTTTCATGTTGGAGTCCTGCTTGCCTCTAATCACAGCTGTCAGCTACTGAACAAGTTTGACACCCTGACTCCAAAAATGAGGGAACTCACCCCCATGCATATGCAGCCCCTTCCTTCGTTAAGGCTGATTGACATAGCAGACTTGGTGCATAGCCAGAGTTTTATAGGAAAAACAAATGGCTATGTGTAGATTCTAGTGGAAATCTCCTTGATCAGAAACACAGGGAGGGAGGAAATCAGAGTAGTCAAGACTTTATGCAATTCAACCAGAGTTGCTGTGAAGTCCCACATTCTTATTCCTGCAAAACAAATACAGTCAATCAGTTGAGACAACACACACACACACACACACACACACACACACACACACACATCAGATTCACTCTTTTACTATGTGATTTTTAACTTTAACTATAAACATGACACAATGTAGAATCACCGGGGAAGAGTCTCAGTGAGGGATTGTCTGGATCAGGTTGTTTTGTGGACATGGCTATGGAGATTATCTATTGGTAATTGATGTGGGAAGACCCAGCCTAAAGGTAGAGGCACCATTCTCTAAACTAAGTACTGAATTGTATAAGGACTAACAAAAAATGAACCAAGCATAGGCATCTACTCATTCTCTCTCCACTCTTTCCCCTTCCTCTATCTGTCTCTGTCTCTCTCTGTCTCTCTCTGTCTCTCTCTCTGTCTCTCTCTGTCTCTCTCTCTCTCTCTCTCTCTCTCTCTCTCTCTCTCTCTCTCTCTCCCTCCCTCCCTCCCTCTCTCCCTCTTCCTTCCTCGTCCCCCCTCCCTCCCTTTCTTTCTTCCTGCCTTTCTTTCACTGTTGAGTGCAGAATGAGGATCTAACTAGCTGCTTGAAGCTCCAGCCTTGACTTCCCCACAATGCTGATTGAGACCTGGAATTGTAAGCTAAACAGAACCCTTTCTCCTAAGTTGCTCTTTGTCACAGTGTTTTATCACAACAGCAAAAGTGACGTTAGACCATCCTACAACCCTTTCTAGATTGGCTCAGCTATAATACCAAATACTCAGTGATAAGTGAAATCAATTGGTTTTGACACGAGCACCCTCCCTGGGTGCATCCATAGTGTATTCTGGTTTCCCACGTAGATAGTACTGTATTTCACTGTATTATGGTGCGCCATAATAACTCATAATAACTCATCTCGGGGGCCGTAGAGTGGCTGGCTGCACTTGTCTGGTTCCAGGATCAAGTGGTAGCCACATCTCCATAAAACATGGAAAGGGGGAGAAATCATACCCATGCAACACACAGAAGTTCCCTTCCCATCACGGACCCCATTGCTTTGAGCTACATGGGAGAAGGAACGTCCTCTGCCTGCCTTCTAGAACCTTTTGCTAGCCTGGGAAGCAGCCTGCCAGAGGCAGGGCGGAAAACTGAGCTTCAGAAACAGGCTGACAGTTGCGCAGGCGCAGCCCCACAGCTCTTCTGGAAGCCACTTCCTGCTTCGTTTCCTAGCAACGGGGAAAGCGTTGTTGACAACCACAGAAACTGCTGCTCAGGCTTGGGAGTGGAGCTGTCCCACAGGCGCTATGGTAAATCTGGTTGGGTCCATGTCTGGAAGGGCAGAGGTGGTGGCACCATGGGCACAGCTGTCTTGGGAAGGTCTCACTATTTACGGATGACGGCTGGAAGGGTCGCTATAGAGAAAGGGGAGGTGCTGAGATGAATCTGGGAGCCAGGAAAGTTTGCAAAGAATAGAGATGGAGGAGAAAGATCCCAGGCTGAGACCAGGAGAGCAAGAGAATGGGAAGGGAGGGGAGCAAGAGACAAAAAGGGAAGAAGGGAAAATCAAGGAGGGAAGAGAGAGGGGGGAGGCAGAAAAGGACAGAGAAAGAGAGGGGAAGGAGGAGGAGGGGTGATGAGGAAAAGAGAAGAGGAGGAGGAAGAAGAAGGAGGAGAAGGAGGAGGAGGAGAAAGAGGAGGAGGAGGAGGAGAAAGAGGAGGAGGAGGAGGAGGAGGAGGAGAAGAAGAAGAAGAAGAAGAAGAAGAAGAAGAAGAAGAAGAAGAAGAGGAAAGAAAGAAGGAAGCCCCCCTCCCTTCACTGCACAGGAAAGGAGGGGGAAGGACTAGAGAAAAGTAGAGGGAAAGAGAAAAATGCAGAGAGGAAGAAAAAGGAGAGAATGGAATGGGAGAGAAAGGAATAAAGTGAAAAGGGGGGAGAAGAGAAGGGAAAAAGGAGGGGAGGAAGAATTAAAGGGAACAGGGAGGATACAAAGGAAAGGGGAGATGAAGCAGTGGTGAGAAGGGAAGGGGCGAGGAGAGGAGGGAAGGAGGTGGACTTAGAGACTAGGGAGGTTGCAGTAGGGGCCTCTGGAAGACAGAAAAGGGGTGCCCTGGAGGAGAGGGAACAGGGGAGGAGCAGCGGAACAGAGAGTGGAGGGGGGCAATGGAGGGAGAGAGGGGCAGGGATCGTGGCTTTGGGGAGCTGTAGACACTCTCCAAAAAATGGTCAGAACTGTAGTAGTCTGGATCTTCCAGGCCAGACAGAAGGTGATCAAGAAATGCCAAGTTTCTGTGATTCACCCCATGAAAAAGTCACCTTTTCTTTTTGTCTTTTTTGTTTGCTTGTTTGTCTCAAGGCTATATATAAGACAAAACAAGTCCCTGGCACTATCAGGTTTTTTATGTTACTGTCATTGGTAATGTCTCATTTTCACTTTCAGGGGACACCTCAGGCTCAGGACTTTCGTGGCAGTGAAATATAAAAATACGCTTTCTTCCTTGTTTTCACAGTTGTTTCAATATGTAATAGGGAGCCAGCTTTTACCCTGTTTTTTTTTCTCTGCAGATGCATTTCTTTAAGCTTTAGGCCATGCTGCAATTTAGAGAACATGCTAATTAAATGTTAATGGTATCCACAGTGGGGAAAGCCATGAATCTAGCATGGCATTTCCTCAATTCAGAAAGCACCTGCTCTGGTAATGGGAAAGACATGTAAGTGCTTGCTCACATATCTGTCGGATGCAAAAGAAAACCTGGTCTCCAACTGGATAACCTAACGTTCCCTTGTGAGATGTTGGAAAAGAAAACAATAGAATAAATTCCCACCAAAGGACTGCCAGGCCAAGCAGGCATGGTAATGCCTGTCTGCAATCCCAGTACTCAGGAGGTTGAGGCAGGAGGATTGCTGTAAGTTCAAGACCAGCCTGAGCTACACAGTATGAAGCCCTGTCTCAGAGAAAAATCTCAAAAATCATTTTATATGAGGCTAGAGAGATAGCTCAGTAGTTAAGAGCACTAGATACTCTTGCAGAGACCCAGGTTCAATCCCCAGCACAGCATGGTAGCTCACAACTGTCTGTAACTCTAGGTCTAGGTGACCTAACACCCTCTTTTTGGCCTCCACTGGCACCAGGCATGCACATGGTGCACAGACATACATTTAGACAATACCTATTCTCATGAAATAATAAGATATATTTTTAAAGGAAATGTAAAAATTCTCAATGAGCTGTTGGAAAAAAGAGACAACACGGGTAGTGCAGTGGTTTATGCACAGTGGACTCACAAAGGGGAACATGAAACCCAGCCGTGGGGTCCCAAACAGTCATTCCCAGCTGAACATTCGGTTTAAACACAGGCCACTGTAATCAGGAGACCCAAGCAACCTGCAATATGCTGTTTGCATAGAATTCACTTTGTAAATTTAATCACCAGAATGAATCCCCAGAGGAAGAGACAGGCGAAACTAAGATGTCTCACTAAGGGCAGCTTTTGGACACTCAGAGGATATAGTGTTCACCAATAAATATTTAAGGACTATAACACACAAAAGAAGTTTTTGTAAGTACAGAAATGGGAGCTTCTTAAAGATGACCTATGGTAGCTTTCTGGGCAACATAAAAACCAACCAACAAAACAAGCACTACTTTTCTAGCAAATGAGGACACACATAAGCTTACAGGGAGCCCTTGTGAGGCTCCCTGTCTCCGCTGGGGCTAAAGCCTGGAAATCTGTCTAGGTTCTATGTAAGTGGAAGTTTCATACACAGTTCCCATGTGAGATGTAACAGTTCCAAGCTTACCTCTTAAACACCCGAGTGTATGGCATCCACCTCTCAGTTAAAGAAACAGAGGACTAGGTGTGTTCATAGCTGTTCTCCGTAGAGTTGATATCACCACAGAGACCCCCTCTGGCTAATGGTGGCCCTGATCTCTTGCAGACAGAGGTGGAGGAAACCCTCAAGAGGATTCAGAGCCACAAAGGGGTCATTGGAACGATGGTGGTCAATGCAGAAGGTAATGCCTTGCCACAGGCTGACTGAGCCCGACACCCAGACACTAACTGGGGACTCATCTATTGTGTCAAGAGTGAAGACTCTTACCTTAGGTTCTGAAATTAAAAGCATTTTTTTTGTCTAGCAAAAAATTTCTAGCAGTTTTTCATCAGACATCTATTGGATACCTACTGTATACCAATCACTCATCTAAGAGACACTGGTTAAAATGCCTATGTATTCCTAAGAAATCCTACACAGTGTCTCCTTCAGAAACTCTGGTAATTCCCATCTCTTCAGGAGGGCCAGCAAGCTCTCTTGCTGAAGAGAGGGAAAATTATGTGATGGCAGTTTGTTTTTGGCTTAATGTTATAAAGGCTACAGTATAGATGATCAGTTTTGATTTAAAATTGAAATTTTTCTTTTATCATATTAGGTAAAAAAGTTTATAATTCATTTGCACTCATTTTAATAATGATTTTAATTTAGTGCTTGAAAATTTCATACAGGTATCTTTCATATGTGTGTATAATATATCTTAGTCATCTCTCTTCCCCACTGCCCCTTCTGAGTCTCCCCAGAACCGTACGTAAGAATTCATTTCATACATTTCTGGAATAGTCTTGTAAAATAACAGGCAGGAAGGAATAATGCATTACCAACCATGAAATGTGGATACTGGCCTGAGACTCATTGTCTCTGAACCACCCATATCAAGAATCTGCATAGTGAGCCTGCAAGATGGCTCAGTGGGCAAAGGTGCCTGTGGATAAGACTGAAGACCTGAGTTCTATCCCCAGCACCCACGTGGTGGACAGAGATAACTGACTCCAACAACCTGTCCCCTGACTTCCACACATGCGTATGTGCAGGTGTACAGACATACATGCAGATACCCTCACCCAAAATAACAAGACTCTGCATAGCATATCCCCTGACTCATTGCTCCATGGTCTTCATCTTAAAGGTCCCTGCTTGTCCAATTGTGCATTCAGACGTTTGTAAGAGTGAGAGGTGCCAACATTTCTAGAAAATTCTCTGAAGTAGGAGTAGTCACCTCTAATAATTCATGGCAGATACAACCATAGAATCGACTGATCCCTAGCTTGGTGTTCTGGTGCAATCCATCATTAAATGCTTATTGTGCAACTACCAGCTAAAAGGCTGTTGAAATTCTGCACTCTGTTTTCTTGTCAGTAAGGATGGAAAATATCCCGAGTTCCTGCTGGTTATAGCAGTTAGATGAGAAGACTGTCAAGTGCCCAGCTTAATCACCAGCAGTTAATAGAATTCTAATTAAAGACTTTCTGAGAACTTTGATTTATTTGATTGAAATTTGCAGAGAAAACGTTTGGTTTGTTTTATGAAATAAAAAGAATAATTCTGCCAAATTCATGTAGTGATAGGTGTTAGGATAAATTCACTGAGCTTGACGAATGAGGAAGAAGGAATTAGGATTGTCTGTACAAGAAGTCAAAAGCTGAGTCATCTATTTCCAGGAAGTGGTCATCTCTCAGTGCAGCCCTGGTGAAACCATTCTGCTTCTGTGTCTACTACAGGGTCTCCCACCCTAACTTATATGAGCTACCTGTGTGATTTAGCAGAGGTGCCTTGTGAGTTTGCTTTGGCTGTGACAACAAATGACACACACACACACACACACACACACACACACACACACACACTGGCTTTGAACCTCAGAAATGGGAGCTGGGGTGACAAATCAGTCAGTAAAATGCTTGCTGCACAGGTATGAGGACCTGAGTTCAGATCGCCAGCACCTATGTGAATAGATGCAACAGCCATGCTCCTGGAATACCAGCATTTGGGGAAGAGGAGATGAGGGTATCCCTACAGCTCCCTGGCCAAGCCGCCTAATGAATCAGTAAGTTCCAAGTTCTGTGAGAGACACTGTTTCAGTAAAGTTAAGGTAAAACCAATGAGAAAAACTCCCAATGTCAGCACCTGACTTACACATACACCCATGTACACACACACACATACACACACACACACACACACAGAGAGAGAGAGAGAGAGAGAGAGAGAGAGAGAGAGAGAGAGGAGAGAGAGCAAAAATTTATTATGTCTCTACCTGGAAGGTTGAAATTGGAGTAGCATGTCGCTGGATCATGGCCTTTCTGAGGACTCTGGCTGAAGGCATCCTGACCTCTAGCTAGATTCTAGTAGTAGTCAATCATCAATGTTGCTTTGCTTACCAACTCGTTACCCTAATCTATAGCTATGATGGCCCACCCTAACCTCATATGGCTTCATTTTAACTGATTGCTTCAATAGAGAACCTCTTTCCAAACAAAGCTATCTTCTGAAGTTAAGGGTGGGCTTAAGTTTGGGAGAACACTCCAACCCAGTATAGGCACGGTTTCCTGTGGCACCCAGGCCGGTGCCTCTAATGTGTTTCACTGGAATGCCTTAATCTAAAGCACCCAGTCCTGGTAAAGTGAATCAGACGTCTGAAGAAACCATGCCAAAGAGTGATGGAGAAAAGATTTGGATCCTAGAACAAAATCTGGGAATGAAGCAACGGGAAGCATTTTTGGATCATCTATACAGCCAGTTGCATACATACACTCCAAGTAAACATGGGGAACTGGGGATGTGTCTCAGTTCGTAGAGTGCCAGCCTAACATGCATAAAGCCTTGAGTTCTAGTGAATAAACAGGGCTTGGTGGAACAGGTCTATAATCCCATAGCTGGGGCAGTGAAACAGGAGTTCAAATCATCCTCAGCTACATGGAGGGTTTGAAGCCAGCCTAAGATGCCTGATGCTCTGCCTCAAAAATAAACAATAAACAAACATAAAAAGAGTGAGGAAGGAGAGGTTCCGATGTCAGAGTGAGTCTCCCCCAAGCAGTGAAATTAGAAGCTTGCTTTCCTGCACTTCTCGGTGAAAATTTCTCTCAATTTCTTGATGAAAGCAACAAAAATGTTATTTTTAATACCATTAGCTTTTCCCTAACTGCAACTAGAATAATATTATGTCAGGAATCAGGGCACTTTTCAAGGGTTGTGGAAGCTTGATTTCTACCTGATGACAAATTAACCTGTGCCCCAGCTTAGTTTTTGTGGTGAGGTGGTTAGCGACCAGAGTGTGTCAGGGCTGTTTTCAAATGGCATATGATATAAGTTGTGTGAGCTGAATGTAGCAAAACAATCTTAACAGCCCTCTCAAATGTTTCTGGAGGCTCTCTTATTACAGTTTACTTCACAGCCGTCAGAAGTCCTGGGCACTTTATTACAAAAAGCAGGTCCCTAGGACACTCTCATCACCCTCTTGTTCTCTGACTGTGGCTGTAGTTGATGACTCGTAGACAGAGTGTTAACATCATTGTCAGTTTGCCTTGTAGTTAATGAAGTAGGTCTACTATGTTTATCCATGTCAGTGCCATCACATGCCAGGTTGTGTATTGAGCCTTTGCTTTGTTTCTAAGACACAGGCTTCCTTCCTATTTAAGACAAGAAAGAGGGCTCAGTTGTTGCTTCTGAGTGGTCTAGGTTTCGATGACAGTGGATTGATTCTTTATTCATTTTAGTTTCCCATTGATAAGGATGTTCATTGTAACACCAATATGTAAATATCTACCTCCCAAGCACTCAAAACTGTCATGCAGCTTTGTATAAGCCCAATTTCTACAGGCTCCTGACTTTAAATATTCTTGACACCACCAACAATTCATCGTTTGAATATCATTAGGTTTTATCAGCCATTCAGCCAGTTGGTTCCTTTGCTTCTGAAATACAATCTACCTACCAAAGCATAAAAGCACAGTTGCAGATGGCAAACTGAAATAATGACTCCAAGCTTTCTGGGATCACAGGCAGTCATATTCTAGAGCAATGCCATAAATTAAACTATATCAAATTTGAAAAGTTCATACGTTTTGTTCAGGGAACTCTGTTTTGGAAATGTCTGGTTCCCAAACAAATAAATGTGCAATGACAAGTTATGTAGTCTTGTTGATAGAAGCCATAGACTGAGAACAGCCTAAATGCCTGTCAGGAGGATGTGTAAGTCACATGCGTTACAAAGCAGACATTCAACTACCTGTTAAACAGTTTAGCCTTATGTGTTCTACCAAAAATTTCCCAAAGGTATTAAATGAAAATATTAGGGTGCTATTAAAATAGAAACTATACACACAAATACATATTCTTGAAGAAGGGTGGTGAAATGCTTGTCATTATTATGGGAAACTAGAATAAAAAGGTGTAGTCAGTATTTCCTAACTGTTTATACAGTCAGATGCACATATACACTTAAATATGGAGGAAAGACAGAGGGTGTGGAGAGGGTTATATATAAATTGGTAGAGTACTTACCTTGCAAACATGAGACTATGAGTTCTGATTTCCAGCACCACAGAAAGATGGTAGGGGAAAGGGAGGGAGGGAGGAAGGAAGAAAGGAAATGAAGGAAGGGAGGGAGGGAGAGGATTAGACAAAGTTTATAGTGATTACATGACTGATAGATAATTCAAAGTGATTTTTTTCAATCACTTTTAAAGTATTCCTGCCAAGATGGTGCTGCAGAAACAGTTGACCTGATCTAGTGAGAGCATAGAGACCCTAGTCATAAAGCTGGGGAAACAGCATTGGACCAAACCAAGCCCTCTGAATGTGGGTGCCAGCTAGGAGGCCAAGACAGTCTATGGGACCTCTAACAGTGGAGCCAGTCTTAATCTCTAGAGCACAATGGATTTTGGGAGCCCATTCCCTATGGAGGGATACTATTGCAACCCAGATACAGCAAGGAAGGCCTAGGCCCTCTCCCAAATGATATGTCAGACTTTGAAAGTCCCTGGTGGAGGGCCTCACTATCCCTGAATGGGTTGGGGGGTTGGGGGGGGGAGCATGGGAGGATGGGAGGGCAAGGGAATGGGGGGATGGATATATAAATATGAGTAGTAATTAAAGAATTTAAATTAAAAAATAAATGAAAAAATTAGATATGTAAGAACTAGGACTTATGATTGTTTCCCAGAAAGAAGGTGTGTGCAGCTGGAGAGATGACTCAGTCACTAAAGTACTCGACTTGAAAGCACAAGGACCTGAGTTTGATTCCCAGTGGTTGTGGTAGTGCTCACTTATAATCCCAGCACTGGAGATGTGTAAACAGGAGGATTACTGGGTTCATTGGCCAGCTCATCTAACTGGTGAGCTCCATGCCAGTGAAATGCTCTGCTCTGCCCCACAGGACATGTACAGCATCCCAGAGGATGACACCTCACACTGTGGTTGTCCTTTGGCCTCCACACGAACACACACACACACACACACACACACACACACACACACACACCTCCCCCATTCAAACACACATATACACACATACATATAACACACACACACACACACACACACGCACACACACCCGTGAGTAAACTTTATGGCAAGCACTGAAATGATTTTGGGCTTTGTTTTTATGAAAGAGCTAGCCTCAAACTCACAACCAACTTCCTGTCTGGGTCTCTAAAATGCTGCTCAGTTAAAAGCATTCACTGTCACACCCAGCCTAAACATTGCTTTTTAATAAATTAATTTTAACTGGTCCAAAGCAAGAGCTCACTAAATACTTGTTGATTGGTTGGTTGGTTGGTTGGTTGGATGGTTGGTTGGTTGATCTGGGGGTTGGGGACAGAACCCAGGGCCTTGCATTTGTTGGGAAAGCACTCTGCCACTGAGCTAAACCCCCAACACTGACCTTTTGATTGTCTTGAGAGTGAAAACATCCTATGTCCATATGTTCTTCAGAAAGGTGGCCTCTTATTTATCGACTTCGTTACAAACAGAGTCTCAACAGCTCTGCTTCATAATTTTGTCATCTATACTTTGAATAATTTATTCTGGTTCTATTTCTTATCCTGCAAAAAAAAATTCAGACTTCTGTCTAAAAGTCTGTCTAGAAGTTAGGTGCCTGCTACTCTTTATGAAATTAATGGTTTTATATGATACATCATCTACACACTAGGTCACAATGTGAATGCTAGACAGCCTTTATCACTGTTACTGTTCTGGAGATGGTGATTATCTCAAAAGGAAACCTGGTCTGTTTCAAAGTCAAAACTGACAGTCTTCCACAGTTTCATGAAGACTTGATAAAATGATGAAATTCTAAGATAATCCTTTGACTTTGAAAAATACTTAACTTTGGCATTAGTTTCTGGAGCTATGTTTTCTGAAGGAAAACCTAAGAGCCACTTTGGACTTTTGTTGACTGGCCTTAATTCAGATGCTTAAGGGATTTGACAATGATCCCAGACAGACTCTTGTCGTGTGTCCTCTTAAAGTGATGACATACTTCAAAATGAAATCCTTTGAGCTTCTTCCTGTCTGGCAGTTCTCAACATAAAGGTTATCTTTAATCAGATACAATGTGTGTGAAGCACCTAACTTGGTACCTGCTACATAATAGACACTGGGTGCTGGATGTCCCGACTGGCTTGGTGGCTTTGAACTGAATTGACTCGGACTTACATATTTGTCTGGTTAGAATTTTTTTAATTAAATCAATAGATTTAATCTGTTTTAATCTCATATAATACAGCAACAAAGTGAACAAGAGGCCAAATTTAATAATACTTGAATAGAAGATAAGCACAGACAAGGGACATTCACCCAGAAAAGTTAGTCTCTTGGTTGCCATATTTTTCTAACACTGTGGGAAGAGTTAGAAATTTGGAATGCCCCTGCTGAATAAACTCCCTGGCTTAGGTAGTGTGGCTCTTGTTTCAGGGAAGCAGAAAACTGCCACATTATAGACCACATATTTCATAAGTGGGATGCCTTGAGAATGCATCATATATATATATATATTTATGTATATATATATATATATATGTATATATATGCATATATGTATGTGTGTATATAGATATAGATTAATAAATAATGTAATTAGGATTCAATGGTAGGATTAAAACAATTAACAGCTTCCAAATGATTTTTACACAAAAATATTCACCACACATTCACTACTAAAAATGTAAAATACCAAATGTCTAACCAATATATTGATCCTATTCCAACATACCCATAACATAAAAAGTGTGCAGAGATGAATAGTAATGGCAATGACACTATTAGCAAGGGAAGCTTGTGTGTTTTGACTTAAATGATGAGAAAGCCACAGTCAAATTTGTAAACACCATTAGACTCAACTCTGTTTAAAACTCCATATAGAGACAAAAAGATGATAAAACAAATAATAAGCTCAATCTAATGCCAGCTAAGTAATATCCACTGTCAGTTTTTCTGCCATTTGCTAGGATGGGTGATCTCCCCTTAGATTTTGCAACCAGGGGAAAAATAGCTCCAAATTAAATCTCATCACAGGCATTCCAATCCGAACAACCCTGGACAACTCCACAACAGTTCAATATGCAGGTCTTCTCCACCAGCTGACCATGAAGTCCAAGAGCACAGTCCGGGACATTGACCCCCAGAATGACCTGACTTTCCTCCGGATCAGATCGAAGAAGCACGAAATCATGGTAGCCCCAGGTAACTGGACATGTTGTTTCACACTGGAAATGCTTTTCTACTTTAATAGCTTTAAAACCCCTGTTTGAAAGACTGAGGGATTATAGAGTCTTGGTGAGTGTATAGATTTTAATAAGGAATGTGAGGCATAAAGCTCTTTGGTTACAAAAACGAAGATGTCTCATTCTGAAAAGCCAAATTCAAACAGTATATGAAATTAGCAAGTAACGTGGCCTTTAAACAAGCTGAATTTTACCCATTTCTACTTACTAGTTATAAAATAACTAGTACAGGGACCAGCACAGGGACTGAGAGGTCACTGGAGACGGGCTTGGAGGATTTCCAGTCTCATCGTGCTTTCAGTTTACTTTGCTTTCTGGGTGTCGTTGAAAAGGCTATCTCTCAGCTGCCTGCTCTGCCCCCCCTCAGCTGCTGTGTCTCCACTGTCATTCTGGACTCTCCTTTAGTATTTATATTTTAAGTGTGTTTTATGGGTGTGTACATGTGTGTGAATACACGTGTGTGTGTGTGTGTGTGTGTGTGTGTGTGTGTGTGTGTGTGTGAGAGTGCACATATATGTGTGTTATTTAAAACAGGGACATAAACAGAAGAATAGCACAGGGACTCTCTGAGTAGTGGCAGAAGAGAACCATTCTGGGAATAAAGCAAGAGGTGTATCCAAGGCTAAACCCGTGTTACCTCCCTATGAGGTGAGTGTGACCAGCTGGTCTACTGGAAGGACAGGAGCTCACAGTCACGTCCTTGAAGGAATTATGTTCACCATGTTTCTGAATAACTGTGTTATGGCCACAAACCTAGTATGCAGCACATGATCACATCAGATAAGTAAAGTTTTGTCTGCTGCTACACATAAAAAAACACTTATAGAATAATTATTAAAATTAGCCATGCTGGGGACAATAGACAAATAAAAATATAAATGCTGGGCCAAGTCTGAGTGCATTCAGCTTTTCTAGTGTGCCATGGCAATTCTGATGTGCAACCGTTATCTCCACAATGTCCATGTGGTGTTTGGTAGAGAGCAAGCTAGCGGAAATGTTCATGGACTAGATGTGAATTAACTTTGCTCGTGTTTCTCCCTAGATAAAGAATATCTTCTGATTGTCATCCAGAACCCGTGTGAGTAGACCTGCTGTAGCCAACTCTGTCCTCATGATGATACCTGGATGCCTTTCACTCCTCTAGTTCATTAAATTGACCCTAATTGAGTCTGGAGAGAGACACGGTCTCCTATTTTGACAACAAAACTTTCTATATGTCTCCCTTAGTACATTGTGGTCTTGTGCTTTTGCTGTACAATAAATAAACTCTGACATTTATGACCTTGGGTTTTTTTGTTGTTTTTTTAATGACCCTGTTTTTAAAACATACATATACATACTTAAATAAATAAAAAGCAAGGGAGAGTCTGTAAAGGCAAGTGATTTCTAAAATGGGATGATCAGAAAACCCAACAGCTCTGTTTCTGGGACTCAGCTGAGCTAGTGCAAATGAAGCAAGAACTGGTTGGTGTTGATTTCTTGGCTGCTTCTCAACAGTGGTCCTCAGTAGAGTGACTGAGAGGAATGGCCAAGACACAGAATCAGGCTCCAGTGACTGCCCTGGGTCCTTCACATCACACACAGGTCAGCACAGTTTCAACAGAAGACCAGCTTTGCCTTCAGAGAGGAGACAAACGAGAAGAGCCTGTGGTATATCAGGATCTGTACTCAGCCCTGGGAATGAACATTCACAGCAAAAAGGAATTATCAGGTCTGACAGAGGAGCCTTTGTCCCATTCTCTCTCTCTCTCTCTCTCTCTCTCTCTCTCTCTCTCTCTCTCTCTCTCTGTGTGTGTGTGTGTGTGTACAATTGTGTGTGTATTCTTGTGTGAGCAGAGGTTATAGGAAGATTCTAATGACCTGCTCTATCACTCCCTATGTTAGTCCCTTGCACTAGAGTTAGAATGTGGTCTAGCAAATCCTAGACATTCTCCTTTCCCCTGCCTGCATATCACAGTGCTGAGTTTGCAGATGCACAGAGCTGTGCCTGGCTTCTTAAATGGGTGCTGGGAATTCAAATTCAGGTCCCCAAACTTGTGCTGTAAGTGCTCCTTACTCGACAGTTCAGCTCCTCGGACCCAAAACCCTATTCTGATGCACTCTATAATTACAGGTTACTCAGTTGAGATCTTTGTCATGGGTAACAGGTTTTTCTCTTCTCTCATCTCAATAAAGCCCGGGTACAATCATACAGTCCATTCCTAGACAGTTTCAGCATCTGATAATTCAACATAAATGAGATCTCATTAGAATCCAAAGAGCAAAGAAATGCATTAATGAGGAGGGTGGTCCTGTTCCACTTAAGATTTGCAAAATTTCAGAGCTGAAAAGATCTAGAGAGATCACTTGCCCAAGCCCTTGTTTCGGGGTAAGTATTTCACCTGAGCTGGGCCCAGGTGTCCTTAAGACATCTGAGATGTGAACTTGAAGTGGTCTGGATACATGTCCTTATTAGGGGCTCTTGTGAGAGCCTTCCACACTCTCCAAAATTGCTTTCAGATGATACAGAATTGCATGTTGTTTAAAATATACCAGAAGCAACATTTGAATCCTAAATCTGTCATCTCCTCTTAGTTTCCCAGTTCACCCAGAGCTCATGAGCAGATGCATGGCTGAGCAGTAAAGCCCCTTCCTCCTCCTTGTCCAAGTCAAAAATTTCAAGCCCCATTTAAGATAGAGTAGTGTGAAATCTCTGGCAAGTGCAGATGGCACCACTGCAAATGCCAGGGATCCATGTGGTCTTCTTGGGAGAGGAAGGCCCCTCTATCCCACTGGGCAGGGAACTCACAGAAGCCTTCCTGGATTGATACCCAGAGTCAACTCTGTTCGGGGTAGAGACTGTGGCAGTGAAAGGTAGAACTTACCAGAGCCAATTGCAACTGAAGTGGATGCTGTCTCTGTTCCAGCTCATGGACCCCTATTCCCTCTTGGATTCACAGCAGCATAGGTAATGAGCTATACTTCAAAGATGACTGCACACTCATCCAAAGCCATTGGTGGATTTTCTTTTCCCACTAAGAAACGCAAGCCTGGGCTCATGCTGTGTCTCCTTTTAATCCAGCTAGCTGTAAATTTTACCTTTAACAACAGGAGAGCTGTTTGCACGGTCTCTGGAGGAACAGATTCCAAACCATAAATATTAACAATAATAAGCCTCAAAGTCAAGCTTAACAAACCAGCAGAGAGCACATTTACACATCATTAGCACCATGCACTCCACACCTTCATCTCTGAAGAGCAGAACCATTCCATTGGAGACTTCACAGGAATCTGTCCAGAGCTCTAATATGAGACTGCCTATCTTCTTCTAAAGCCAAAATTACCATAGAGTGTGTGTGTGCATGCATGTGTGCACATGAGTGCAGGTGATTGTAGAGGCCAGCAGAGGGCATCAGAGTCCCTAGAGTTGGAATTACAGGTGGTTGTGAGCTACTCTACTTAGGTACTGGAAGCTAAACTCGTGTCTTCTGCTAAAGCACTATGAATTCTTAAACCCTGAACTATATATCCACTTTTCTTGGCTTTCAGGAAATTACAGTTATCTTCAGTATGTGATTAGCACAAAGGAAAATATCCTCAGCCCCCCTGTTAGGAAGTCATACTATGTCCTTGGAATGGGAACTAGAGCATGTGCAGATCATATTCATTCAATATTATTTCCTCATATTGTTAATGAGTTAAAATGGATATGTTTGGGACCAGAACAGTTTCCAGTTGGTGGGCAAATCTCCAAGTAAGGATTTAACAATAATAAAGCAGGGGGCCATGTTCTGAGACACTGGGAGGGTCTCCAGCCTTCCCTTATCACAGTCACCTCTGCTAATGGAAGCTCAGAGATCTCTGGACAATTTGGGTCGTTCAAGGCTGGCAACTCTCTAGTGTTTTCATTCTATAAGTCTGGACATGAAGAGTTGACCCATGTTTCATGAAGTTCTCCCTGAGGAGATAAAGACAAATGCCTGTTTCTCCTAGATACAGCAACACTGACAGAGCAGAGTGCCATTCTACCAAAGTCCAACATGGAAAACCAAGGAGTTTATAGGGGTTCCTTACAGAGCAAGGGTGAGGTGTTCCTTGCAGAGCAAGGGTGAAGGGGTTGCTTATAGAGTAGGGGTGAGCGTTACTTACAGAGCATGTTTGGGCCCTAAATCAGCCACATCACCAGAAAGTCTCACACCAGTGATAGGGTATGTCCTTCTGTATGCTGTGAATACATGCTTTTCTTATTGGTTGATAAATAAAGCTGTTTCAGCCCAGTGGGCAGGAAGGATGTAGCCATGCAGGAAGTATAGGCGGGGCTACCAGACTAGGAGAATTCTGGGAAAAGGAAAACAAGGAGTGAGTCACCAGGGAGATGCCATGTAGCTACCATGAAGGTCACAAATTGTACCCAAACATTTGGCACAAATTTCCATGTAAAAGCTTTAAAAGGGATTCTAAACACAAGAGAACAGAATCAAGCATAACTTCTTGGTAGCAGCATTTTCTCAGGTGGGCTCTTTCTCTTTTAAGAAAGGGTTCCTGACTTGGAAGCAAAAAAATGGCAAGACTCCTTTAAGAGGCCCTGCTACCAAACAATTAAATGGTGTTTAGGAGCAGCCAACAGCATGGTTCTTGGTGATGACATGGACCTAGAAACTCCAGAGAGTTGTGGCAAGAAACATGGCTCCCACTGTTACCTCAGTCACAAAGCTAGACTCTCAGAAAGCCAAGCAATAGGGCAGGGCCAGCCACCACTTTAATCTTAGCAGTGCTGTTTAGCAAATTAAAGACTCACATGGTCAGGTCAGAAAAGGATAGAGACATACAGTAAAGACAGATTCAGAGAAACAAAACCTCTAAACGGCATACAGTGTGTTTAAAAATATTCATAGGCTTGGGATGGAAAAGAAAAAGGATAAAGTCTTTAAAGAAAGAAATAGAGTAGCTGGATGTGGTAGCACACGCCTTTAATCCCAGCATTCCAGAGGCAGAGGCAGGTGGATCTCTATGATTTCAAGGCCAACCTGGTCTATAGAGTGAGTTCCAGGACAGCCAAAGATACACAGAGAAACTCGGTCTAAAAAACAAAAAACCAAAAAATAAAAAATAAAAATAAAAGAAATAGAGAAATAAAGCCACATAAAGATGGAAAATACACAGAGAGTCTGGATACTGTATGTTGTGTTGTCTTTAAATTGTTTGACTGAGTAAGGAGCAACAGCTGCTAAAAGACATTTGACTATAAATGTTGCTGGATTAACTTTGACTTCAAAATTTAAGTCTAAGGATATGTTACTTTGGAAAAGAGGTTCTGCTTTTGTTTCGACAGAAGATGAAAAGCTGTGAATTCCTTCCAGACTAATATGGTTTGATCAAACAAGGCTCCCTGAAGCAGTGGCCCAGTGATCCAACATCCAAAACAGCTGAGACCATGCAGACTCACGAACCACTACAGCCAGGATTTGAACAGGTTTCTGGGTTTTCTTAGGGTCCTCTTAGGATTGATAGTACCCCGCTCAACCCCAGGAAAAAGTTTGGAGAGAACTATGCCCACATTTCCAAATATTGTTTACAAATGTTTGTTTTCATTTAAACAAAGTTGGTTATAAGTGTTTAATGATCACAGCAAATCTCTTTCTAAAGGAAAAAAAGGGTATATGATATAAAAATGAATACTTTGCATTGGTAAAGATTTTGGTTTATTGATACAAATTTAAGGTCAATTTTGTTATATGTATATTTCTACTCTAGGTATTGCGTATATACAGCTCTTTTAAAATGTAATGTATAATTAAATACAGATTATAGATAGTCATGTATAATAGTCGAAACCTATCTTAGTTAGGTTTTCTGGATATACAAAGATATATTTTCAAATGGATAGGTATTCTTCAAAAACTTTCAAAGACCTACAGAATATGGCATTTTAAATGGTTTATTAGGGTTTTCTTGACAATGAGACACAACTGTTCCTGGAAACAACAATTGCATCAGAGAGGAAGATGGGCATCAAAGAAACCCGTTATGGAGTTAGCCTTCAACATGGCAGGGATAGACATTTGGATAAGAAACTGCTTTAGCCTGGACTGCTTGACAGCATGCTA